ACATTTAAATCAATTCATTTCAATTGATTTGAGAATAATGACTAGACATGGAATGAACAAAGAAAACAGAAATTTTAAGTAATATCCATCTTTCTATTCATTTTTATGACAAAGTAGTAAACTTTACAGTGGTGATAAAGTCATAGTCATAAAGTGTATACAATACAGTATAAATGTTATCAATTCATAACCATCAAAAACGTGTCGCAAGTTCATAATATTTTGGAAGTACACAGTATGGAAAAACGTAATGGAAGAAATCTCACTGGTTGGTAATATTCATCAAAAGGATAATTATTAATCAGACGTGTATTCCTGAACTATTTACTTCTAATTGTAGGCCATCAATAGAGACAGTAAACCATCTCCAACTTCGACTAAGCCGGAAGGTCTATCGTTACTTCAGGATAATCACAATTCAAGAATCTTTTTTAAATGATTCACAAGGTGACAGTCTAATATAAATATATGGTCATAAGTATTATCCTCAGGATTGTTCAAGTAGTAGGATATATATATATATACATTTTTCCAGTTCTCACAAAATAAAAGTAGTTTTAAATAAGTGCGAATCAAACTATTGTCAAAAAACACCATCATCTTCGAAATAGTCTCGATTTTTGTGTACAGATTTTATTTTTCCACTTTGAGCCTATTTTATGCTGTTTATATGATATGACGAGATTTCATTTCAGATTACGTGTTAGCTATTCAATACATAGAATCAGTATAATAAAATCGATCAAGAATAGGTTTTAATTTATTGCGTAGATTCAATAAAAGTATAAGTTGAAACACGCAAGATATACAACGGATTAAATGAACTGATTTGAATATAGACAACTAATATGAATGTTAAGTAAATTTAGAAGAATTTGACTTTCCAGTCATTAGAAAAATCTATTCATTTGTTGAAGGTATCCCACGTCAAGCAACTACACTATTAGAAACAATTAACTTTGTGTTCATTTAAGGAGGCAATTTAATTTAAGACAAAAACTACTCACAACTATTTACTATTTGGTATTAACATTAATACATTAAACAAGGCGGCCTGCCTGAATATCTAGGTTATCTGTCCCTGCCATTTGGAAATTTCAACAAGTTATCTGTTTTATTGTTTGTTTTAACACATCATTATGCCTATTAGTCTCATAACCTATTCGAGTGAGTTTGTGAAACATTTACGACATTTAACCGTACAATTTACAAAAGCGCCCAATCAAAGACTGGCAATATGCATCGACAAGAATATATATTATTCAGATGTCGATTCCTGAACTTCTTACATCTTACTGGCGGCCATTCAATATTTATCGCAAGGATCGATCCAGAAATAAGAAAAGGAAATTTGTTGAAATACGTTTTGCTGAGAATTCTTTATTGTAACAAAAATATACTATAGAATAAAGCCAATAATAATAATAATAAATATTCTTACAAACTAATTACTTGTACTCAATTAAAGGTTTCTAGTAGAAAACCTATTGTCATTATATAAGTAAATGAATTCAAAAGTAAGGTTTTGCATCATTTATAGTTACAATAATAGCTGAATACCTCATAAAGTATAAGTTATCCATGTAAATAGAATCACTGAAACATAGTTAGTAACTCTTAGTATTATCAGTGTTTGATCGATCACTGATATCTTAAACAAACAGCTAGTTCTGATAGGATAAAACTAACAGTAAATTTGATATTCTAAATTATCAAATCCAAGCATAACAAAATATAAGCTTTAGTCAATATTGATAAAGATAAGATTTATAGAACAAACTTTAAAAATGTCAAATGTTTGCAAATTTTCTTTCAAGTAAATTAAAAATAAGATGAAAAAAGGGAATACAATTCAATAGATAAAGTTCATGTCAGCAAGATATTGTGATAAATATCAACATGAAAATCACAATTTAGATTAAGGGGTGATATCGTTGTAACATAGAGGTCATCATCTCTTTATGTTTACATGTGTGTGACACATTCGCATTCAACATTACAGTTTTGATGTATTTTGTGAATTCATATTCAGCATTACAAACAATGTGGCGACATTTTCAAACAAATCTAATCTCTCTCCTTTGTTCATAATATCTCTCAAGATTATTCTGTTTGTTTTGTCACATACACACTTCCAGATTGTTGACCAATGAAGAGAAAGTAGAAGAAAAGGAGAATAGATTATAAACTGTAAGGAATGGTATGATGTAGAGAATCTTTCGAAATACAGTGTGTATGACAAATATAATACTTTTGACAAATATAATACTCTCAAAGTGAAGTATGATTTGTTTCAAGTACACTTTGACTAATATTCTACAATCATTTTGTTTACTTACTTACTGTTAACATGTGAAGTAGTGTAGTTGATGTGATATTTGATGGAGCCATCAAAGTGGATATTAGAATGGTGTTAGAAGAACAATGTATACGTAGTAAAGTTAAGATGAATGATTCTGTAGATGGTAGATTCCGTACTCAGACGGATTATTTGTCATTCAGGGCAACTTCAGCAACAGCTTGTCCAGGAATATAATGAAAGATTTCCGGATAACTCATTTAAGATAGAATTCACTAAATCCACACAAGTTAGATGAACTTAGATGGTTATAATTGTACACAAAGCATTCTTACATTGCCACGCAGGTAGAGTCCATACACAATGTAAGAAGTCCCAAATCGTTTACTATTCAAAGCAATCTTAAGCAAACTTTTTTCAATAACAAATCTCACATCGCGAACATATGAGACAATCTAGTATATCTACTTTCAGATACATTTGGTTTACAAGTGCCAATGTTTTCATTGTGAAGCAGTCAGTTAGAAGTATTCAAAAATTCTTGTTGACAAAATAATCTCGATCTAGCACTCATCTAAAAGCAGACATCGGTTTTGATGTTTGGATAATATTATTTTCTGCTGAAAGTCACTCAGCAGCTTCGTATAGTTTCCTCCCCTGTTTTTTCTGTTGTTCTTCAGAGTGTTGTCAATAATTATGATATGTGTAAAATAGTGAGTTTGGCTATTATCACTTTTGTATGTGGTGAGTATACAAATGTGTTCTTATTTTAATCATAAGCAACTTCGGCTAATGAAATTGGTGAAATTGGAGCCACTTCAACAGAAGCAAACAAGAGAATAATCATTCATGTTCAGTTGTTCACATTTACACACATAATAACCAGTAGCATCATATCATCTTACCTCAACTCGTAAAACAGATAACTTCGACATACATTGATTCTCCCCTACATTAATTTGTCGCATTTCTCTATCTAAACATCAACTCTAAACCGACTCCATCTTATATTAGTTATCTCGTTACAATAAAGAGTTTATCATTAGTAATATTGAGAATAGAGATAATAATCAACCTGTTTCTTCGTTTCATGTTAACATTTCATATTCACTTAGCAATCATCAATGACCTCAGTGTGTTCATCACAGTATGATATTTATTCAGGTCATACGCAACATCGTCACCATCATTATTTTCTGTATATTTCTACTGACAACGAAGACTTCCATTTCGTTGTTTTGTTTGTGTGTATAATTAAATAATTAGATGTAGAAAAAAAGAGAACGTGACGAAAGTCATAACAACAATGGGAACAATGAAGATAGACTGTTATTGTTTTTGTTATTTTCCAATCGAGAAAGTGAACTATTCAACAGGATAACTTAATTAAAATGAAATGATCTCAAGATGACCTGAACATCATAGTGTACTTTGTAATTATTTACAGTCGTGTAAGTTGAACATCATGTTTTCTTTCCTTACTGTTGAACTGGTGATTCATGAACAAATCTCATGAATGAATGACTGTAGTTTACGTTATGTGGCCTGCCAGTTATTAACATTATTTAGTAGGCTTAAAAATCTTTAATTCACAGTTAAACTGGTTCTGTGGTTTAAAATCTTATTGCTGCTATTCAAAAGAAGGATGATTTAGGGGGTTTTTAATATAATAACTTACCATTTATACGTAACAACACGTTAACGGTGTAAAATCCTCAAAAGTTGTATTAATGAAATTCGAAAAGTTGATGTGCTTTCAAGTTACAGGTGAATTATTTTAAGTAAGAAAATATCAGTCTACATGGTTTTGTACAAAACAAAACAACTACTAAGAACAAAATTAAATTATATTATATTGTCACATTAAATAGGTTACATTGTCTTGTTTTAAATACTCAATCTTTCTTTTTCTTGTTTTTGGACACATAATGAATCGTTATGATATTTAAGAGAGAAAGATCAACTATTTTTTTAATTGGCGTCACACAACTAATGTCTTATGACGTAATCCCTAGTAAAAAAGTGATTTTTTTTCTCAGGACTTAACTTTGTAGATAACATTTATGATGTTATCAAGAATCAAATATTTTCTATCCATTGGCCATTTCCTAATGATATTATTTATTTACGTAGGTCTTGTTTAATTTACTATTCGTACTCCTAAATATTGATCGACATTTAAGTCAACATTCACCAACCAAACTGATAGGTAAACTATATTCAGAATTTCGATAATACCAAGATCTTCAGTGTACCAATAACTTTTTTTCTCATTTTTAGATGACGTTTTCATTCACTTTTATTGCATATCTTTTCATACATTTAAACAAATTTTGTGAACTTGACACCATATCATAAATCAATTGTTTATAATGATCTAATATGAAATAAGATTATTCTAAATGCTGACTGTAACGATGGCTCGTTGGCAAACTCAAGGAGGCTTCATGAAACCCAGAAAGAGCCGGAGATATTCCATCCAATCACCGCTAGAGGAACATTCTAAAATGTCGACGTGTAGCTTCCCTATTGGATGAAAAAGAAGGATCCCCTATGTACCTATTGGCTGTCCGAAATGATGATTTACTTTCAACCAAAAAACTATAAATACATGGGATTTTTGTACTATATTTGACACTGTGTTGGGAATAAAATTCCTACTTATTAGACTTCTGCCTTCTCTCTTGCGACGTTGCGGATTCGATCGTTCAAGTAGTCTAGTAGTTCGCCGCAGATCAAGAATTTAAAGCTCTAGATATAACAATTTCAATAAGCGATATGGTTTTATATTACTGCTAAAACAGCTGAAGATTCAAGCAAACATGATTCATGACCTTCATTGTTCAAGAAAGAGGTGTTAAGATTGAAATCAAGCACATGATTCAGTGGATCAGATTCTTTCTATTGTTGATGAGATTCTCATTTTCACGATGTTGACAGACGAATTTCACACGATAATTTACTTCATAATCAGTCATTACCCGCGATATTCTTACGATAATAGTTATCGACTAGTTAGTTATCAAGCGACCAAGTCATTCAAGTAGTCTAGTAGTACGTGGCATAGCAAGAATCAAAAGCTCTAGATATAACACTGACATAATCAAATACTCTTTAATTATCACATTTAATAAGTCTATCTATACAAATTATGATTATAATAATAAAGTTCATTACTCATTTATATTTATAACAACTTTTATCTTAATTACATAAAAAGTTTCTTTATTATTCCTTATTTATTTATGTCCTACACATCACACACTCTTAGATTGTAAGACAGACAAACAACTAAAATATGATTGGTTAATTTTGAAGAATAATTAAAATGTGCATTACCATGGTATAATTCAATGTGTACAACAAATTTTATTCAGTAGAACTAACAACAGAAATAATAATAAAAAATCAAATTAATTCAAAGTAATTTCTATTTCTAAACTTATTGAATGAATGGATGGATGGATGAATAACCGATGGTTATTTGATGTATCACATATTTAGGTTGTATATATTTTTATAGTTAACGAGTGGCAATTATAAAAGAAAAATGAATTTTGTATTATGGACATAAACTTGTCAACATGGTAATAATGATTGTCTATTGTCGAAATCATAGTACATATATTGAATAGACACATATTTTTTAAAAATAATAAGAATAGCAATACTATACTACTATCTCAAGTAGTATATTCAGCAATACATGTGAATTAAACAGTTTGAACAGTTAACTTATACATATACACATAGAATATTCATAATGATCAATGGATTACTTCAAATGAAATATAAATATGAATATACAATGAAAGTTAAACATCAATTACCATGACAACTACTGTAAATATTATTATTAATAATAATTTGTACATTACAAATTCTATTTGATTTTGATCTATATGGGATTTTTCCTTGGATGATCATTATTGAAATCAATAAAAAGTACCATAAGAAAAATGGATTTTGATTACTATATGTCATATATTACCATTGTCTTTCAATTTCTTATATTAAATCATTTTAAACATGTGAATGGACAGTATACTATAGAATATTTTATCACTGAGGAATGTCCATCAAATACATTAGTGGGAAATTTAAATAATATACCATATAATTCAATGAGTCAATCACATGCATTTAGTACTTTTCAACTTTTATCAAATAATGTAAATTTTTATTTAAATGAATCAACTGGATTATTATATACACGTGGTCGAATTGATCGTGAAACTATTTGTTCTGATAATAATATACTTCCTCATTCATCAAATGACTTTAGAATGAAAGAGGTTGATCAACTTTTAATCAACGAACCGAATTCTCTTAACACAGGATATATTACTAAATCAAGTTGTGAAATATTATTACAAGCCTTACAATTTATTCATGATTCACATTCACGTGAAAATAATGAACAACAACATAGAGTGATATTGATAAAAATATATATATTTGATATAAACGATAATACACCATCATGGCAAGAGAATATTATACAAATTAGTGTACCAGAACATACTTCAATCGGTACTAGAATACCTTTACCAACAGCTAATGATCCAGATTGTGGACCTATTAATACAACTGTAAATTATTCATTACTTGATGAGGATGAAAAGTTTCAGTCTTCCGCCATAAATTCAGAAAAAACATCTTTAATGCAAAATATTTTCCATTTAGATGCAGAGCTTATATCAAATCCAGATATGAATTTAAACACTGTATGGAATTATCAAGCAATAAATTGTAAACCACGGATTTTTCGTTTATGGCTTCGGATTACACAAGATTTAGATTGTGATGATGACGATATAGATGAAACTGATAGTTTGACTTCATCAAAATTATATCACTCTGAAAGTGTGAAAATAAAACAAGCAAAGTTAACTTTAATTGCTGTGGATGGTGGTCAACCGGTTAGTTTAACAGGTACTGTAACAATAAATATAACGGTTACAGATATTAATGATCATGCTCCTGAATTTATCGACTCTGATCGATATCACCCTAAAACTACAAGTGAATCAACTTCAGTTCACTTATCACCTGTCTACTCAGAAAATGGAGAGTTATATATACAAATTCCTGAAAATACTCCAGCTGGACGAGTTATATATAAAGCACAAGCGGCTGATCGCGATGAATCAGACAAGAAAAAGCTTAAATACGCACTAGGAACATCAGCTGGTCTAGATGTTAGGGATACATTTAGAATAGATTCAAAATCAGGTGAAGTGATTCTTTTACGTTCACCGGATTATGAGCAACACAGAATACACATTTTACCAATCACAGTAACTGATGGTAAACACTTGATAACACAAAAGTTGACTGTACGAATTCAAAACATAAATGATCACCCTCCTATGATTTCAGTTCGTCCAGTTACTAAACAGAAACCAAGTAATTTTTCTCCAAGTTTACCAATACGTCCCGGAGTTCCAAACTTTATTAATAGTCGAACGATTCTACTATATGTAACTGAACATGAACCACCAGGTCAGTTAATAGGAACTGTAACAGTGACTGATTCTGATGAAATTGCTGACCCGGTTATTGCTAAATCAGATAGTTTGATTGAGAATAATGCCCCAGCCGTGAATTATCAATATCAAACAATTGATCCAGATACACATCTAAGCATTAATTGTCAGTTGAATCATAACGGTTTAGTGTTGGAACCTTTGTTTAAAGGTGCTAAAAACCAGTTTAAACTTCTTACCTATGCTAGCTTCGACAGAGAACAACAAACAGATCAGTTTGCTACCCTAACATGTTATGATTATGGCCAACCACCATTATCTTCACAAGTTGGTTTACGTCTTATTATTGAAGATATTAATGATCATGGTCCTCAGTTTAAACAAAGTAAAATGATTGCTCATATTAAAGAAAATAGTCCATCAGGAACAAAAATTTATAAAATTGATGCACATGATCCAGATATCGGTCCAAATGCTTTATTAGGTTATCGTTTAGATGGACAACACATGGATAATTTTATGATTGATGAAAAAACAGGTACAGTAACTAGTTTACGACCATTTGACAGAGAACAGATAGATCATTTTAATTTATCTGTAATTGTGTATGATCAATCTGACTGGATTACACTAAATAATTATAATAATGATAATATTACATCGATAACAGATATAACTGTAAAAACAAATACAATGGAACTGTTCAATCATAAAGCACCAAAACAGCATATTGTACATGGAAATCTTCATGTTTTCATTGATGATGTAAATGACTGTGTACCAACATTTGATAATTCGTTATATCAATTAAGTGTATCTGAGGATGCTAAAATTAATCATTTAATTGGACAAATTGAAGCAAATGACAGTGATGCAACCGAAATTAATAATCAAGTAAGTAATTCAGTCTTTCATAATAATAAGTCTCAATTTAAATTATTGTCAAGGCAAAGTCGAATATTATTTCAGGGTCAAGTAGTTTATTAAACTGTTTAAATAAGATATCTAGAAATGATTACGTAATGCAATCATTTACAACAGCAAAATGTCATGTGTTTGTTTTATTCATTCACTCATATGAAACATACCAACTGGTAATTAAAATCTCTGAATATATGTAATCAATAAAAGTGCATAATTGAAAGCATGATTCAATTGAAGCTAGTACACCAAGGAAAACCTGGAAGCACTGGACGACCCATTGTGGGACTCCTCAGCAGTGCGCATCCACGAAGAGCAGTTATGGCGTCAGTTGATAATATATAATGTTGTTTAACTTTTGTAACGAGGATAGTATTCTGCGAGAATGTTTTATTAAGATAACTTTAGTATTCAAATTTTTGAATGATGCATTACTTCATTATAACATTGATAAGTTAGGGATTCCTTTACTTAGGTAATCTATTGTTTTGAGATCCAAAAATTTTATTCCATAGAAATTGTATACTGAAATTATTTTGTAACAGTTTAATTATATCAACTAAATACTATGTTAGTATTGGTAAAGCTGTACTATGCTTCTAAACCAATGGGGACCATACAACCTAAATGATGAATAGTTCTGTTTTGTTTAAAAGAAATGAAATTGTTTGAATTTTGATTTGATTTGAAAAGTATAAAACTTATGTCATAGACGTTTCATATTCGATTCTGTAAGAATCGGTCACATGGAATTGTTTTACAATGTTTAACTAATATATGTATTGAAAGATTGTAAACTTTTAGCTAATTATTCTATGATATAGACTGTAGGGAAGAAAGTGAAGTGCTTATTTCAATTTTCTATCTGTCAAAATTATAGATTTGAATATTCAATTTACGTCCCAAGTTTTCTATAATTTTGAAAACATAATATTCACCTTGATATTGTAGTAAGAGGATTATTGAACAGGTTTATAATTAATATTGATGCTCATAGAACGGATTAATAAGAAATATGTCTTCAATATCAATCAATGTATAGTTCCTTTGAATATGTAATCTGAGCATGTTAACGTATTATTTAGCGGGAAAACGTTTAAATGTTTAATGAGAAGACCGGTTTCCTAAAACGTTAAGTTCAACTTTTTTATTTCTACATGTCTGAACTACTCAATAATCGAAACTAAAATAAGCAGAATCCCCAGTTTAATGAATTACTGAATAATATGTCTAAAGATTAAGAGCTCAATCAAGGTTAATGATAGACATAAGCATAACATTACTGTATACAGAAACTTTTTTGACTGTGGAAGTGAGTAAGGAAGTGTTAAATCTTTTCCTGTGGCTCTCTGTGTAATAGCTATTAATAGTTAGAGATTATATATTGCATGAATAATTGTTAGAGTGTAAATCACTTCATTTTTTATCTTTTAACCATTAAAAATTTAGTAATTCTTGTTCATTTTGACTTTGAGATATTCAAACTACTTCGCTGATCTAATATACGTCAACTTTTGTCAATTTCCTAATACCGCAATCTAGCAAAATAAATAAGTACGAGGGATTTGTAGAGAATAAATAATTTCCATAGTGTAATTCACGAACCGATCTGAGCTAAGCCATCTTTGAAGACCTAAGAGCATTGGATAGCCGTTTCGTATTTGTACGAGACTCCTCAAGAGTGAGCATTCATGACGCCTTAGGATGACTTTGAACTCCCAGAGTTCTAATGAAAAGCTGTAACCATCGGAACCTAATCAGTGTCAGATGTGAGACAGTTATTGACCTGATGCAATGAGTGAGGGTTGCATAATATCGTGGAGTAATTGGTTTCAGATGTTAACGCCGTTGAATGCCGTCTCAGTGGTCTAAAAGGTTAAGAGTTCGCAATCGAGTCCAGATGTCCTAGTTTCGGTTCCTGTGACGGGGCGTTTTAAATCATAAATCCTGTTTGGTTGATTGTAGTTAGTTATAAAATCTAGTACTAGCGTTTCGTCCTCTTTGGGAATCCGTAACATGGCGTACTTGTGTCCGGATGAAGTTGTTCATATCGGAACTCGATCTCAGTACTTCTCGCTTTAGATTAACTATGGACTATCATTTAGACTTTTGAGTTCAGACAGTCTCTAAATTGTTCAATGGGTATGTCGTTTATGTGGCTATCGCTAGGAGATTGAATTATCTCATTACCAGTAAATGGCACTGAATTTAGATTGTAATTGTCCATCCTGCTTAGATTTCCTCGGTATAGGGATAATTTAGACTTGCCAACTATAGTCTCTCTGTTTTTCAAAACACACAATAACAATTCAAATTTCATAATTATTATGTAGGATGAGAAAAGAATTGTTGTTAACTGTTGCATTTCTAATCATTTTTATCCAGTCATCATACAATATCATTAGAAAGATAAATTAACATTTATAAGGACAATCCTCTGTATCATAAATGAAAACCTAAATAAATGAATTGTGTGCAAGAAATTAATCCACTTGAAATTTAATTTGCTTACATTCGTATTGCTAAACTAGCCCATAATTTGCATATCAACAGGCATTTTCTGACAATCCTTTACGCTCAGTAAATATTAATAAAACTCTTTACAAACTGTTATGACTGGTCATCATTTGTTATCACCACGTCGCCAGTTGTTATGTCTGGTTGTCGCTACTTGCTATGTCGGAACCGATTACTACTTATGCTTGTAAAACGAGGAACCACTGCAATTCTTTCTACACTAAGGTAAGAACACTAAGACTGGTATAAGTGGGGATTTATTAAACCTAAAATATGACGACAACCCTAGTCAAAAATACACTCATTTATATATTGATTTATACACCCATTTTGATTATTAATTAGGGTGTCATCACATATATGAAAAATACTCAGAGTTATAATAAATCGCATACTGCATGTCACGTTGTGCATAGTTCATGTTAATTGAATACAAGAATATTGTATCTTTAACAAACATCATGCTCAACTAATGTTATACAAAATAAAATAACACAATAGGAAACAAAACCAATACTACACTGGGTAATTATCACATTGAATTAAAACGAAAGTAATATTTGACAGAGGTCACAATGAGTAAAAGAATGTAATTTTACTTTTTAATCCCATTACATCAGAAAGTTTAGATTTTTTCCAGTCATTATATATCAAACAAAACAGAACAATCATTTTTCCATTGAGCAAGTCAATTAAAATTGCTTTTATATTTAAACTATTTCTGTCTACTTATCAGCTCGTCCAAAACATTACAACATTACAAACATTATAATATTGAATCCAAATAGTATTGTTTGTTTGAATCTTCCCACTGATGTCTAGGACTGCAACTGGTCAATCTCTAATTAGCATATGTTCATACTGTGTTTATTGTCTCGATATAGCCTTAATTCGCAAGCATTGTAAGCAAAGATGGATAGCGTAATATTGTCTTTTTGATAGGAGAATGCTTCAATTATTTGCTCTATATCCTTCTTTACCTTTTAACCTCTAATAAAGTATTTTAATAATTTTATTCTAATCATAGTATTGAAGTGAAAATAGTAAAGAAAGGTTAAACAACTAAAATTGAACAAATAAAGCAAGAACAAACATTGATGCAGAATAGCATGAATTCATATTATTTCGAGGTTTCTCGTCAGCTGCTTACAAACCAAAATTGTGATAGAATTTTTACATGAAGATATTTACACTCATTTATGTCAATTGTTTCACACTATCTTCATGTAAAAATTCTATCACAATTTTGGTTTGTAAGCAGCTGACGAGAAACCTCGAAATAATATGAATTCATGCTATTCTGCATCAATGTTTGTTCTTGCTTTATTTAAAATTGAACAGCCTTTCATTCGGTAAATATTTAATATACTTCATGTTTATACTTATGATTAAAGTACAATCATTCTCAGAAGGAGGTTTTGTGGAGATTTTAGTAATTTTATATAGATGAGATCGTGAGTAAACTGAAGCTAAACCGCCATGGAAAACCTGTAAGCACTGGACGGCCGTTTCGTCCTATCGTAGGACTCCTTAGCAGTGCGCATCCACGATCCGGCCTTGCGAGATTCGAACCCAAGACCTACCAGTCTCGCTTTCAGGTGCTTCCAGGTTTTTCATGGTGGTCTAGCTTCAATTGACTCATGAACTCGACTATATCAAATCATTCTGTCAACTAGGTTTTTGATACGATTTATGATATATATGTATATATATATATATTAAAATTATTGGCACATGTGTGAAAAACTGAATTTTCAATGTATAAAAAGCATTCACAGATGTCAAATGATTTTTGACTTAATTCAATATGTATCAAAATACAAGTTTGATAGTAGTATTCTATCGATGGAAACAAAATAGTAAAATATAGTTATTATTCTCTTTAGTCAAAAAATCAATTATTTGCTTCGTTAAGTTAAAGTGAATGTTTGAAGTATAAAAACATTACGTTTACTCCATGGTTTTCCCTCAGATACAATTTATGTAAACTCATCAAATTTTCGATAATTGTTCAATAATCCATCTTATAAATTTTCTAATTGTAGACCATTACTTCTTCAGGCTCTTATATTTCAGACATCCATCATTTAATAACTTTACGCGTGCTTGCTCATAATGCAGCTGATTGTTTTCATTCCAGTTTTCGCATACATCAATATCTGCTATTTTATTACACTTGATTATAAGCAGCAGAGGAGAAATCACAAAGTAAAACCAAATAATACTGTCTTGCCAACAGTGTTGTTGTTTTATTCATAAAGTGACCTAATTGTTTGAAACCATGTCGTTGATAATCAGATGCAATCAGTCATAATAATTAATATCAATAATCTATCCCAGATGTTGTGATATCATTTGCATTGATTTTCTTAGTTGAAGTTTACACCTTATATTACCTGCCTTCATATTCTATATCGGGCAGTTCATTGTGTCTAATCATAAAATAACCGGTTCAA